CTGAGCGTATTGTGTCTGGTTAATGTGGCTTTTGACTCGTTGTCGACTTCGCTCTTTATACACATTAAATGTCAATTAGATATGTTGGGTCATCGTTTGGAGAATATTGGTCATAATTCCAAATTTTCACAGCAATTTATAATGCAGCAATTAAAAGATTGTGCTCGTTATTATAATCGTATAATAATGTTAATGAATGATATTGAAGATTTGGTCAGTATAACCGATTTCTTTACAAATTGGTTGTTCTGTATTTGTTTTGATTGCAAATTTTTATGCTATGTCGTTGGTAAGTGAAATAAACTAGAAATGAACTAGAACGGAATTCAGATAAAAAAGTAGCTTTTTTCCGATTTCAGCTTTCAGATCCCGAAGAACTACCAATTTTTATAAAAATCGCTCTCTATCAGTGTTGCATGCTGACACAAATCTTTATGATGTGCTATTTTTCTAATGAGGTTTCTCTAAAAAGTTCTGAATTATCTTTCAATCTCTACATGTCAGATTGGTATAATTGGAATAAGATAAATCGTAAAATGGTCTTACTTCTAATGATACGTTTTGAGGAGCCAATACGTATTAAAAGTATTAATCGTTCTTATTCATTCAATTTGGCGGCATTTACTTCGGTGAGTTTTTTTCATATTTGATCTTATAGAAATGAAAGTTTTCGATATTTATCTTACTTTTTCAGATAGTTAATTCGTCTTATAGCTATTTTGCTTTACTAAAGCGTGTTAATGGTTAAAAGATTTGATGTTTGGAAAATACTTTATGTAATTTGTAGTAGAATACTTTAATAATGATAATATTATGAAATTTTGCTGAAATAGAAAGTTATTAACCAATAAAATAGTTTTCAAACATTTTCATAATTTAATAACTTATTTGGTAATTGGGCAATTAAGTTTAATTTGAATGTTAAGTTAATTTAAAATCAGGTGACCATGACAAGAAAAAAATGTAATTGTTCCTTCGGATCTAAAATAATATAGTAATGTATAATAATATATAACATTACTAAACCCTGGCAGTGTGTTTAGGATACAAAATGTGGCATGCGATATAGATTGGAATCTCGATAGTATTGTAAAGATTTCGTTCATCATCAAATCTCTGGTCTTCCCAAAAATATCCTACACTTTTCTTATAAAAGGCGCAAACATTTAAATTTTCTTTTAAAAGTATTTTAAATTAAAAACTCTCTTCAACATGAATACTCGTGATCATCATAAAGCGTTGGAAACTTTTACAAATATCAATCATGGATATTTCGTCTACTGGCACTTTGGAAATTACCCGATACCGTGACACCACGATTTCGATTACTGCATAACATTTATTTCTATTATATACTATTTTTCTGGGTACTCTCCTTCGATGCCAGTTGTTTTATACAATTTATAACGAATATAACCGATTTGAATGAAGTTATTAAAGTATTTTTCATATTTGCCACCTCTTTGGCAGTGCTGTCGAAATTTTCGACTATTAAATGGAAAAATCATCTATACTACGAACTAGTGGAAACAATACATAGACCTATGTTTCGTCCCCTAAATAAACGGGAAGTTAAAATGTTTAAAGAATCACAGCAACTAAGTCGTGCTGTAAGGAATAGTTACTGCAGTATTTCATTGTGTGCCCTACAGGTGGTGCTGGTAACGCAATATTTTGTGGATAATACCGAACTTCCTTTGTCGCTATACAATCCCATAAATGTAGATACAAAGTTCCGATATCTAATGATGTATTTATATCAATATATAGCCGTTTCTATATGCTGTTATATGAATATCGCTTTTGATTCGATATCGGCTTCATTTCTTATACACATCAAGGGGCAATTGGATATTTTATGTGATCGTTTGGAGAATTTGGGCTCAGAGGATGATAACAAAATAGTAGATAATAATAAAATTACTATGAAATTGAAAGATTGCATTAAGTATTATGAAGAAATTGTAAGAATCACGGGTGTTGTGGAAAATCTGGTCAGTTTACCAATTTCCATACAAATAGCTTGTTCGGTTTTAGTATTGGTGGCTAATTTTTATGCTATGTCTTTTGTAAGTTGAATAAATATAGTTTTATTTATATATAAATATAAATATGTACTTCTAGCTATCCGATCCCGGTGATTATGCCAATTTCATCAAGTTTTTAATTTATCAATTGTGCATGTTATCACAAATCTATATACTTTGCTATTTTTCCAGTGAGGTTACCTTTAAAAGTCAAGAGATTTCTTATTTTTTATATTGTTCAAAATGGGTGGAATGGAATAAACTTAATCGCAAGTTGACTTTACTAATGATGACGCGATTTGATTTACCCATAGTTATTAGATCGGTAAATCCCACGTACACTTTTAATTTGGCAGCTTTTACTTCGGTAAGTATTGTGTTCCTTCTTTTCAAATATACAGAAAGTTATTAAATTTAAAAACTAATCGTTCATTTAATCGATTCCATACGTGTTTCAGGAATACCCTTACCCA